GCTCATTTGACTATAGGGACTATCAAGTCATAAGCCAGTGGTGATGTTCATCCTGGTAGTCACATCAGAAAAGGGTGGATCTCACCACTTGAAGCTCATATCCAACATCTCATATACATAAATTCCTAGTTCCTATATATACACACACATGCACATGCATATACCAACATAAACCCGCCCTGAGCATGGCCTGTTTATGAGAATGATGGTCAGTATCTGTGTACTTGTGCAGGAAACACTTGTTTGAAACTGGGCAACAAAATGCCAAACTACATGGTTCCAGTTCAGGTAGGCAGCCTTCTAGTTACCTTAAACGTCGCAGCATTACCACCAGCCCAAGCTCCAATGCCCATCCTCAATGCCGATGATGTGGCTGAGCCTCCTCTTCCTCCTGCCTCACTCAAGCCAGCAGTCTCCATCCCTCCTGCTTCTCAGCCTTCAGAAGGATCACCTCGGCATCTGTTCGCTTCGTTCTTACTATCTTTGGCAATAGCAACGGTCTCTGGATTGCTCCTGCTTTAAGATTGATGTTGGGATGAGACTCATTTTGTTGTTTTGGTTATTGGATGCAATTCTTTTTCATTCTCATTTGTATTCTTATTTTCGTTAATGGTGGATTCACCCTTTTGATTTGTTTGTTTTGTAAAACACTAGGCTAATATTCTTCTATACAGCATTCGTAAAGGTTTGGTGCAATGCCTCTCAATTTTATGTTTTGTGGTTTAGTTGGTTGTGGCATAAGTTGTGTACATTAATTTAAACTTGTTGGATGGAAAATGGTTTAAGATGAATTTGGTATGATAATAAATGTTTGCATGTGTGAAAGGCAAAAGTTGAGTAGGTTTTCTACAATTATAATTGTTATGGAGTTATGATTTATGGAGGTATAGCAGTAACTGATTTTCTTCTGTGATCATAGATGTGATATTATGTTGCTGGTGTGAGTTCAGCTATAAAATCACGTGTTTTATAATTATGTATCTTAGTTTTTGTGTTCAACAATTCTCTCTCAATATTATTCTAACCCTACTGATGATGACTGTTGTATATTTCCTTGAGTTGAAACTTTTGGCAAATAATTAGTGTCCTCACATCTCCCTTGTTTTATAGCATTAGCACATCGTTGCTTTTTCGAAATATTTCACCAGGGCTTGTCCATTTCTTTCTCTTGTGAATAAAGCGTGGCAATACTTAGCTTTACAAAGGTATAATTAAATCTTAGCATCATGTGCGGCTTGATTTTAAAAAAAATCTCTATTTTTTTCTTTTTTTGAAAACATATTTACTTCTTTCTAGCCGCGGTCTATTGCCGTAATGTTACCAATAGTTGGATTCATGCATAAATTCCTAAGTTTGTAAATCTGGAAAGTTTGCAAATGGGGATTTTTTTTTGAAATAGACCGGTTTTGAAAAATATTTAGCAAAACCGACCGTTTTGTTAAATATTTAGCAAATCTGACCTCTTTTGGTCAGCTCACCAAGGCTGGCCAAAAAGAGGTCGGTTTTGCTGAATTTAGGTTTTAAAACACACGGGATTAGTAGTCTTGTGTGCTAGTCCCGTGTGTTTAGTGGCCGCTAATCGAAAAACCCACGGGATTCCTAGTCCCGTGGGTTTTCTCTTCACAAATACAAAATTAGTCACTAAACTTCCACTCCGACAAATGACGATCCTTCTCCCTCTCCTCTGGCGACTCATCTATCGTCGTCTCTGATGGGGTCCTAATATCGTCCTCCGACCTATTGTCCTCCTACACCTCCGCTCTCCTCTCCCACTTCCAGGCCTACTACCATGCCCTCGACCTCGCCGCTCGCTGCGATGCCTCCCAGCTCCTCTCCCCAGACCCTTGACGCTCCTCGCTTGAGATCCCCTTCCTCCGGCTCGGCGACTTCCACCCCTCCCTCTTCACCAACCTCCTCCGGACCCTCACCATCTCCTCCCCTCAATCTCTTGTCAACTCTAAGATTGAGCAGCCGGAGCGGAGGATCCGCCTCATGGCCCCCTCCATTGCCGACAGGTTCCGCGACGCCCAGGCTCTTGGCATGTATCCCTGATTAAAAAGGCCGAATTTGTATTTTTGAAGAGAAAACTCACGAGACTAGTCGTCCCATAGGTTTTTTGAGTTTAGTTTAGTAGTCAATTAGCAGTCATTAAACACACAGGACTAATAGTCTGTAGGCTGTCTAAAAATTACTACGAATAGCTGATCCCCACAAAACACTGATGATGAGAGTTACAATCTGACAACTTTCACATCGACTGATGAAAGTTACAATCTGACGACTTTCATGATAATAGATGATGGAAGTTACAATCTGACGACTTCTACATCAACAGACGAAAGTTATAATGTGACAACTTCCACACCAACAGACGAAGGTTATACAATCTGACAACTTTAACAACAACCGATGAAAGTTCCAACCTGATGACTTTCACGACAACAGACGAGAGTTACAAATTGACGACTTTCACATTTCAAAGAGCCAAACGCAAGGATTACAAGATGGCGATCCTTGCAACATTCGAAAAGAGATTACAATTAATGATCTTTTCGATTCAAAACGCGAGGCTTCACCCCACGTTCCAATTCAAAAACGCGAGTGTCACCCCCGTGTGCCAATTCAAAAAAAAAGGTGAAGGTCACCCCCACGTTCCAATTAAAAAAACGCGAGGGTCATCCCCGGGTTCCAATTTTAAAACGCGAGGGTCATTCCCACGTTTTAAACTTCAAACGCGAAACTCACCTCCGCGTTCCAAGCTTCAAACGCTAAATGCAAAGCTGAACGTGAGGCTCGCTCTGGAACAAGAATCTTGCGTTTGACTTGTTCAAACACGTTTTCGACGGTTCCAAAACCATTTTGCAAGTAATAAGGGCATTAAACCCCCATTATGGAACGATTTTAGGGGTCCGTTACACCCCTTTAACCCTATAAATAGCTGTGTTTACAGCTAAACGGGGTTAGCTTGAGTTAACTTGGTTGGATCTTGATTAAGGCTTTTGTAGAGCTTTTGCCTTGTCTTTTGAATCATGTTTTGGTAGAAGAACTGTAGGATCGTTTATTCTCTGATTTCGGCCAAAAAAAAAGGATCAAATATCCTTTCTGAAATTAACTCTTTTACAGAGTTCTTAAACTCGTTTAGAGTTCTAAACTTGCCTCGCAAGTTTTTCCCGATGTCAAGTCAAGAGTAGATAATGTTCCACGAAGCAAAGTATTCGAATCGTTAACGGGATACAAGAATCAAACTCTCATCGACATCAAGAAGGACCCAGTTTTAAACAAAGGGAAGAATCTCTGTCGATTCCTTCTCTCCTTTGTAAATCGTGAAATCAATAAGAGAAATTGTAAAAAAAATTCTAAGTCAGTTAGAGAGATGTTACAAAGAGAGATTGTATTCATTCTTTTCTTAAGTCAGTTAGGGAGATTAATACAAATTTTATTTCTCAAAAATTTCTTGCATTTTTTCCCACAAACATATATAGTCCCATGCATTTCAAAACTCAAATTTAGCAAAATCAACCTTTTTTGGCAAGCATTGGTGAGATGGCAAAAAAAAAGGTTGGTTTTGCTAAATATTTTTTAAAACCGATCCATTTTTAAAAAAATCTCCTTTGTGAATCTGGTGTCCATAATCTATCTCTTACACTATTAATATAATGGATTTGAGACCAATAATACTTCAAATACACAGATAGAGGATGTAACAGCCTAACAGGTCAGAAGTGACAAAGCTATCTTTATAACCTCCAAAGTACTCGCAAACTTGGACGACATCATGTTTTTTAATTAATAGGACCTGCCCAACTGTTTGTTCCCACCCTAAGAAAGAATCACGACTCTCCATGGATAAACATGCTACTAAATATTTAATCCCCATACATTAAACATAACCGTGACAAAAAGCTAGTATTTAACCTACTAACAATCGTCATGAGCATCTTCAAATCACATAAACATTCTTCAAAATCAAATTCCAACCAGGAAAACGAAGTGAAAAACTAAAACAGTCTAAACCATAAACACTGCCTAGCTAATTCTCACCCCTAAAAATCATTAAATCCTAGTGCTTCTTCTATACACACACCTGAGATAAATAAATAGTTAGGAATTAATAACCCTACCTACTGATGATTAAACATGATTATCTTCAACTCAGATATTAATTCTTTCCGGAAGCAACCATATCAAAATCAAATTACAAATAGGAAAACGAGGTAAACAAAATCAAAATTAAGTAGCCCATGTTGATGATCGATTTAATTAACTGTACAAAATGAAAATAAAACAAAAGGAAAGGAAAACAAGTCCACGTCACATCACATGGTCTAAATCACATATAGACAGACACTCCCTACTTCTCATGCCCTCAAAAATCATAATTCCTAATGCTTAATTCATACATACACACGAGCGGGATATGAAAGTATCTAGCTAGCTAGTGATTCTACATCGCCACACTACGTTACGTTATCTTGACGCACCACTAATTAATTAACACGGCGATGATCTGTAACTATTACGCGCGCGCGCTGAAAATTCTTCACACATAAATCGCATACCGCATGCTCTCACGCAGCATGAACTCGTTCACCTCCGCGTCGCGCATCCCCCCGTCGTCGCCACCGCCGGATCGGAAAGCGAGGCGCGAAACGGCCTCGATCGGCACAGCGAGCAACGCCACGAGGACCGCTGACAGCCCGCCCGGCCTCCGCCTGTTCTCACCGTCGCCGTCGCCGTCGCCGTCATCCCTCACAATACGCGGTGTTTCTCTGGACTGTTTAAAGTAGTAGGTGAAGGGTAGATATTTGAAAGGAATTGGCACCAATAATACAACATTATGATATACATGGGATTCATTAATATAGGAAGTGGGTGATGTGACATTGACTATTTCTTCAGGTAGGTGAGCTGTCGAGTTCAGACACCCGCAGCGTACAGCTAAGTGCTATTTTTGGAAGGTGATGATTCTAGAAAGATAAGCTCATTGGATATGCATATATCAAATACAAATTATCATCAGACTGGATTCTTTGAAAGAAGTTTTTGTAATTTTTTTTCCCTTTTTCTTTATTTTGAGAAAAAAAGTCAGTATTCTTCACCTTTAAATGTGTTGCTATTGTTTAGCCCGACAAAGACGGCTTTGAAGTTTAAAAAATATATTTTATACATTATTCCCTTGATAAGTTATTTGTATCGGTGTCTAGAATACTGTCTATTCTGTACATGTTATTGCCTATTTTTACCTGTACTACGTGGGATGCGTGTGCACTGTACGTGGTCCGATAATTTAGTTATTTATTTTAAATTTATTTATTTACTACAACATGGTTGTAAAAAACTTTAAAATTATCATAATATATTAAATTATCTATGTCCTGCTCAAACATCAAACAAACATTAAGAGTACTTCGAATGTACCTCAATACCCATATCACAGCATTCCAATGATCCGGACCGGGGTCATGCATGTATCGTAAAACCATCCTGTGACGCCCCTGGTTTCACATAAGGCTGCAGTCCAATATGAACCCAAGGATGTCAAACCTTCCATACACCCACACTGTGTAACAACACGTTTCACCATCACAGTAATACCTCTCTAGTGGAATCAATAATAAACAAGTATAGGTTCAAAGCAGATAGAACAAAGTAATACTGTAATGAACATGAATAAGGAAAATGAGAGAATCCAATAATAATAATATGATTATGTTCCAACTGAGTA